CTTTCTTTCTCTCCCTCCCTCTCTCCCTCTTTCTTTCTTTGTCTTTCTTTCTTTCTCTCTCTCTTTCTTTCTTTCCCTCCCTATCTCCCTCCTTCCCTCCCTCCCTCCCTCTCTCTCTTTCTTTCTTTCCCTTCCTTCCTTCCTTCCTTCCTTCCTTCCTTCCTTCCTTCATTCCCTCCTATGGAGTTTCACTCTTGTTGCCCAGGCTGGAATACAGTGGCACAATCTCAGCTCACTGCAACCTCTGCCTCCTGGGTTCAAGTGATTCTCCTGCCTCAGCCTCCCGAATAGTTGGGATTACAGACACCCACCACAATGCCTCACTATTTTTTTGTATTTTTAGTGGAGACAGAGTTTCACCATGTTGGCCAGCCTGGTCTAGAACTCCTGACCTCAGGTGATCCACCCGCCTCGGCCACCCAAAGTGCTGGGATTACAGGCATGAGCCACTGCACCTGGTCTATTTTTCTTTCTTAAACATGTCAGGCCGATCCTCATTTCGAGTCTCTGTGCTTGGTTTTCACTCTGCTTGGAATACCTTTCCCCCAGATTTTCACAACTAATTTCTCATCACATATGCCTCTCTGTTCAGAGAGACCTTACACTGTTGGTTTCTCTGCCAGAGACTGTGAACTGCACAACTAGCTCTGTCCTCCTTACAGTTGTCAACCTGGTGCCTTGATGTGTGGACACCCAATAAATATTGTTGAATGAATAAGCAATTAGTTGGAGAGAAATGAATAAGCAGTATAGGTACAAGGTCTCGCTGAGAGAGTGGATAACTGTAAAAGAAGTGGAAACACTGACAGAAATAAAAACTGTGAAGGGTGAGTCAGTTTGTGTAGAAAGATATGAAATTTTACTTTAGACATTGAATTTGAGATATATGGAAGTGGCGGAAGAGTGCAGTGATTGGGAGCACAGCTTCTTGAACTAAATTCACATCCCAGTGCCACCACATACCAGTAGTATGATCTTGGGCAAGTTAATGCCTCTGTGCCTCAGTGCCTCAGTTTCCTCAACTGTAAATAAGAATAATAATATTACCTATCTCATAAAGTTGTTGAGAGAACAAAATAAGTTAATATCTATAAATCACATAAATAGAGTCTGGCTATAGTATTGTTTTCCATGGAATTTAAGGAGTTCTGCATGTGAAAGAGTTTCAGCCGGAGCTGGGACTAGAGTTGGGTGAGTGAAGTACCAATGGGACACAATTTGAGGAGCCACTTGCTCTGACGGTTGTGTGAGGGCCCTGCACAGCTTCCTTAAATTTTGCCTCATTGGCCTTCACTCCCCTCACCCTAGTGCTGGCCTTGGAAAATCCTTTATTGGTAAGATTCTCTAAATCTTGGCGCCTGTAACATCTCCCTCTGGCCTTAGTGGGAGTGGTTTCTTGCTCTTTCTAATCTCTGGGTTGCCTAACTGTCCTTCGGTTGCTTCTCAGCCTTTTCTATCACTTACATAACCATTTACCTGCAGTCAGTTTCCTCTGCCCAAATCCTCTGAGTAGATTCTGCTTTCCTGATTGGACTCTGACTGATGTAACAATTAATATGCTCCGACACTCCATAATAAGCAATCAAATTTCAGGGAGGTGAGGGAAGAAGCTAACATTTATGGGATGACTTCAATATGTTAGGTAATTTTACATATTATCAGGGGAATCAGCCCCCACTATTTCAATGTAGGTTCTTTTCTATTTTCCCTAAGTGTCGACTGGTCTGAGAAATAAAGAGAAAGAGTACAAAGAGAGAAATTTTACAGCTGGGCCTCCGGGGGTGTCATCACATATTGGTAGGACTGTGATGGCGACCCTGAGCTGCAAAACCATCAGGTTTTTATTAGGGATTTTAAAAGGGGAGGGGATGTACAAACAGGGAGTAAGTCACAAAGATCACATGCTTCAAAGGGCAGTAAAGATCACAAGGCAAGGCAAAATTAGAATTACTGATGAGGGTCTATGTCCCACTGTGCACGGATTGTCTTGAAAAACATCTTAAGAGGAAACAGGATTCGAGAGCAGACTACCAGTCTGACTAGAATTTACTAGGCTGGAATTTCCTAATCCTAGTAAGCCTGAGGGTACTGCAGGAGATCAGGGCGTATTTCAGTCCTTATCTCAACCACATAAGACAGACACTCCCAGAGTGACCGTCTATAGACCTACCCCCAGGAATGCATTCCTTCCCCAGGGTCTCAATTACTAATATTCCTTGCTGGGAAAAGAATTCAGCAATATTTCTCCTACTTGCATGCCCGTTTATAGGCTCCCTGCAGGAAGAAAAATATGGCTCTATTCTGCCCGACCCCACACAGTCAGACCTTATGATTATCTTCCCTCGTTCCTGGAAAATCGCTGTTATCCTGTTCTTTTTCAGGGTGCACTGATTTCATATTGTTCAAACACACATATTTTACAGTCAATTTGTACAATAGTGGTCCTGAGGTGACATACATTCTCAACTTATGAAGATGACAGGATTAAGAGATTAAAGTAAAGACAGACATAAGAAATTATAAGAGTGACTGGGGAAGTGACAAATGTCCATGAAATCTTCACAATTTATGTTCAGAGATTGCAGTAAAGACAGGTGTAAGAAATTGTAAAAGTATTAATTTTGGGAACTGATAAATGTCCATGCAATCTTCATCCCTATCAGATAGTGGAGTGATGCTTGCTAGATAATTTTTAATGAGAAATCTGAGATTCAGGGAGGTATAGTACATCTAGTGTCACTAAGAAACAGAGTTAGGGTTCAAGCATAGTTTGAAGGTAGAGGTAATACCCTTTCACCATGCAGATTGTGGGTAAACTCCCATTAAACTACAATAATTCATTCTTTTTTTTTCCCCCCTGTGAGGATTTTTTTTTCCCCAGAGAAATACTGACTGACAATGATCAGCACCTATGGGATCTCCTCCTCTTCTTTTTTTCTTCTTTATTTATTGAGGTCACATAATGCAAAATTAATAATTTTAAAGTGAGCAATTTAGTAACATTTAGTGCATTCACACTGTCATGTAACTAATACTTCTATCTAGTTCCAAAATATTTCCATCATTTCAAAATAGAACACTTTACCCATTAAGCTTCTCTTCAATCCCCTCTCCTCCCTGCTGCTGGCAACCATCAATGTATGTTCTGTTTTTATAGATTTACCTATTCTGATATTTCATGTAAATGGAATCATATAATATGTCACCTTTTTTATGTCTGGCTTCTTTCATTTAGCATAATGTTTTTGAGGTTTGTCCATATTGTAGCAAGTATCAGTACTTCATTATTTTTTATGACTGAATAATATTCCATCTATGTTATACATTGTACCACCATTGTACCAGTCATTCCATAATGATCATATAATGTTTATCCATTCATCTATTGATGGACATTTGGTTACCACATGTTGGCTATTGTAAATAGTGCTGCTATGAACATGTGTGTACATGTACTTACTTGAGTATCTGTTTTCAATTCTTTTGGCTATTTATGAACTCATTAACTTACAGTTAATATAGTTAACTATATTTAATATGTATTTAATATATTTAAACTATATTTAATATATTTAATAACTAATAAGTTAACTATAGTTAATATAGTTAAAATAACTCATTTTTCTATTATAATTTCTAATTCCTATTAATTTCAGTTTACAAAATGAAAACACACGGTAACAAATTTCTGTTAAAATGTTTTTTCTCTTTTTGAAGGCTTATGTCTATAGTCTTATAATCTAGTTTTAATTTAATCAGCAAGTTTTGTTTATCTGCTATGGTATATGTGTTTTTATATGTATATATGTTTGTTGGTAACAGAGAGAAAGAAGTGGGGGAGAATAGAGGGTTTTTTGTTGTTGTTGTTGAACATTTAATATAGTCATTCTGAGACTTGAAGGTTATTATAACCACTGGCTTATTTTTCATATCAATATTGGCAGATTTTATGTAAAGTAACATTTCTAGGTCAAAGAGGCCAAGCTTCTTTCAAGGTAAGTGCTAACAGAGAAAGATCATTTGAAAATCTAGGCAAATTTCAATGCACAATAGCAATAAATGCAGCTATTTTCAGTTATTTGTAAATAAAATTATGTTTCTCTCAGAACAAATAAGAGCAGATGAGGGAGGGATCATTGTATTTTTGTAATTTATGTAAGAAGAAAATATGATTAAAATAAATTGAATGCACAAATAAGTAGCTCAGATGCAAATTATTTATTTATGAAACAAAACCTCTTGAAAAGAGAAGAATGCTGACAGCAACTTAGAATGCAATATACTGCACTCCTGTTCTTACCCTTACATTTTCAAAGTCAAACATAGTAATTTAGTTGTGCTCTTGTTTATATTAGTGGGAGTTTTAAAACTTAAATTTCTGCACACAGCTTTGAAAATGTATAGGTCAAAATAAACTGTTAATGAAAAACTGTTTTTCATTTTCAGTGAAATAGTTTAAATCTCTCACCAAGGATGTCCTAGAAGGCACCTTCCTTCTAGTCACAGGAGAAGAATTATAGTATAATGTTACTATTTGGGGGTCAGCATCTTTAAAGCAACATGGATGAGAAATCATATTAAAAAGACAAGAAATGTTTCCCAACCCTAAAGAACATAAAAGTTCAGGACCTATGTAGTTTCATAGTAAGCTAAGGACATTGGACATTTTCAATGGACCCTTTCAGCTGGGTGCGTATAATCAGTAATAGAGGCATGCTAAGGTGAATTTTAATTAGGACTAAATTGTGGTATTACTCTTTCATACCCTGAACATCTGTTCCCTTCAGAAATGATGATTTATGCAGGCTATCAGAGCAGACAGCTTGCTACAGCTTATGTCACGGTTAGTAAGAAGCTGGTGGTAGCATTTCAGAAAACCCAGCATCTAAATGGAGACTGGCCAGTGTATAATATACAGGTAGTAGAGGGAGGGAAGTATGATGTGTCCATTTTTAATTTTGAAGCCAAATATTGACTTGACTTAAAAAATTATCTTCTAGACCATCTGTTGTTAATGAAGAAAGTAACTTGGACAATGAATGGGTTGATGCTTCCTACTGATGTCAAAAGACGGAAAACCAAGCCTGTTCTTTCTATTAGAATGAAGAAACTTACTGAGAGGACCTCAGTCCGAATTCTGTTCTTTAAGAATGGCATGGGGCAGGATGGGCATGTGATTACAGTGGGAAAAGAAACAATGAAAAAGGTAATTTTATATTAAATATTGAACTATGAATTCAATTTCAAAATTTTGTGGCTTTTGAAATGTGTTATTTTTTTTCTTCTAAATATCAATGTCAACAAATAAACTGAAATATTAAGAAGACATTATATAGAACTAAAAAATTCTATATAAACCTGTTTATAAATCTGTTTATTACACTAATACCACAAATTACCATAGCAAAGCAACAATATTTCAGGAAATTATTTGGCTAACGTAGTCATTCACCTAGTTAAAATGTTATGTTTATACTAGAGAAAACATTCTAAACATTCTAATTAGTTACAATATTTTATAAGCTATTTAGATCGAAGCCAGTCTAACCTAGCTTCCAGTCTCAAATCTACCTCTTTTCATTTAGAATACTGGTAAGACCTAAAAATATCCTTGTTCCTCTAAAGAATTAGCAAAGCCCCAAATCACTAAAGTGCAGTTTCAAAGTATTCATAGAAGTTTTAAAAACAAATCTAAGGGGCCCAAGAAAAATCATGAAACAAGCAAACTTAAAAAAAAAGTTAAAGTATTACTTGTCATACAAACGCATGTTTTTTAGAAGGTGTTTGTACTTTCTAAAACATCTTTGATATTAAAAAAAATACCGAGGAGCTAATGGGAATTTGAAACACACACACACATTTTTATACAGATAAGGATTTTTCAACCAATTTTAAAGCAACCTAATAATAATATAGTAACAAATGTGTTGAGAATGTATGAGAGACAGTAAAACATAACCAAATGCCTAGGCTTGAATCTTGGCTTCACCATTCACTAACTATGAGGCCTTGGACACCTTTGTTTCCCTGAGCCTCAGTTTCTTCATCTAAAAAAAAACAGAGATAACAGTAGTACCTACTTCATAGAGTTGTTGCGAGGATTTAATGTGATATTATGCATGGAGTACAATGCCTGGCACCCAGAAAGTTCCCATTAAATGTTTCTAGTCGCATCTTTGAGACTCATAATATACACCTAACAGAAATTAGTTTTCTTTCTAATAGAAAATTTTTGTTATGAAATCAAGATAATTTTGTTATACAAAACTATTTCAAATTGAATGAAACAGGTGAATAGTTGACTAGATATTGGAATTTTAATCAAAATATCTACTTCTTCATTTATTTGTTTTTGTGGTTGTTTTACAACCACAACTGGTTAAGAGCATTTACCAATGAGCTGGGAAACCTGAGTTTTGTTTCCTTCTCATCTGCAGATTTGGATTATGATATTAAGAGATATTACACAGCAGAGCAAATTGCTAAGGCAAGTTATAACATCTTCCCTGGCGATTTTGAAAAATAGAGAAGATGGACATATCTCTTGGACTGTTAAAATGCGGTCATTCTTGGAGATAGAAGCTAGGTTAGATAACCTCTTGAGTTCACTTCAGTTCAATCTCTGTAATTCCATGCCTTAGTGATAAAATTGGAGTAATAGTCACTCTTACAGATTATATGTTCTTAGATGAAAGGTTGAGTATAAATAAAAATGCCACTGCTATTTTGCTTTTTGTCTCTAGAGAGGAATTTATTTAAAACTGGATGATCAAGGAAGTCTTTAGCTTGCATTTTTCTTTTACAATTTGTAGAAAATATTTAAAGAATTTTCACAAATTCATGATAGAACTCATGATAGAACATGATTTAGTAACAAATGCATTAGTAAATATTTGCCTCAGTATCACATTTAAGAATGAGGTAAAGAAGAGGAGGCAACAAAATGCTGATCTTGGGTGTCAATAAGAACTTTTTAGAAGGGAAAAATAAGACTTGCTAATTATTTTGTAAATAAAATTTAAATTTTGAAAGTGTTGTTGATAATCATAGGATCATGCTCTATTTATACATTAAACACCAAATCAGTAATAGAAATAAGGAAGTGTCAAAGTCTTAAGAGAAAAACAAATTATTTTCTCTTTTATGATAAAACATTAGGAATGTTAGCTATTTTTCAATTACTACTAAGTAATGTAAAACTGAAGTAGAGTGTAAAGTATTCTAATATGGTGAAGGTTATTGCAATGGGATAAGAAGAGAATTATTGAGGATGAGTGTTACAATAAGGTAGTTAAAGCATAAAAGTCCTCTATGAGCACAGAATAGAGCCAAGGGGAAATGACTGTATGTTAATTACAAGGAGAAAATCAAAAGGAATTCTGTTTATTTACTTTAGGAAGTAATTAAGAAGTTTGAAATGAGGGCCAAAATGATATATTTCTTTACTAAACTCTAGAATACCAGAACTATAGCACATCTCTTTGCAATTTAAATCTGATGATTTTAGAATTACTTGATATGGTTTCAGTAATCACACAGCATGTGCTACTATAGGATATAGGCTAAACATCTATATTCATGGGTTGAGAAAGGTATTAAGAAAAGTTTGTGGGCATAAGATGCCAAATTAATGGGAAATGAAATATGGCTGATATGGATACACAACTTTGAGATTAGCATCCTGGTGGATAAGTTTTATTCTCTTCCAATTACATCTTGGATTCATTTTCAGATAATTGATGGCTGTGTGGATTATTTTATTATTCAAGATAGCATTTCCTTTCTGAAAAATGTTTGATTTTTTTCCAGTAGTTAATAATTATATCTTACTTACTTGGGTTTTTGCTTGGTTTGCTACTATCACCAATAGCATGAAATTACAGTGGTGAAGAAAATGATGGAAAAGATAATGAAATGAATGAAACAATAAAAAAAAATTCGCTGTCCTCTTGCTCCCATTTGAACTGGCTGTTTTCTATGATCTCTATGCTGGGATCTGTCTTTACTATCAACCTGAGAATTATCATTCTCTCTCTCCTGTGTTGGATTTCTTTTCCCTGGTTCCCTAGTTTTCCCGTACCTCATCTATTCTACTGTGTGCATATTCCAGTGGCTTCCCAAAAAAGAGAATATGGATGGTGAATATTTTGAAATCTTGGGAAATATTTCTTCTTTCAAACATTAAAAGTATTGCTATATTGATTTTTGTTGCTAGTGTTGCTGCTGAGAAGTCTGATATCATACTGATTCATCATCCTTTGTAGTTGACACAAAGGATGAAAACATTTAGGACCATCTCTTTATTGATAGTGTTCAAATTTTTTTTCAAGATGTGCTGGATACTCAGGATGTCTTCTCAGTTTGAAAAGTGTCATCCTTTTCTTTTGAGATGTTTTATTGAACTATATATATTTCTGACAATATCCTTTTACTGTAGTTTTTCTGTTGTTATTTTATGGAGCTCCTTCTTTTTTATGTTGGATCTTATGTACTGAACTTCTAATTTTCTTATCTGGGAGATTTGCTTATCTTTACCTCCCAACCCAGTGAATCTTTTGCTTCTCCTTGTACCGTCTGTTGTTTTTGGGGGGGGAGTTGGAGGGGGGTTGGAGGCATTGCTTTTGTTTTATTTGGTTTTGGTCTTTAATGTTACAGACTACAGACTTACTTTAAGTATGAGTTACTCCTCCATCAATATTTAAAATTGAAGAACCAAAAAGTTGGTTGAAAAGCTATGAGCATAGGTTTGTGTTATTGACAGATGGATTTCATTGGAGAATGTTTTGACTAGGATTTTTCATTGGGGTTGGGTTCCTAATTATCAGTGTCTTTTCTCTGGAGTTAATCAATTTCAGCAAATAAAGTCTGCCAGTTTGAGCAATGTACTAGCCAAGTGGAGAAGGGGGTTAAGAGTTTCACTTTCAATATGTAGACTTTCATTTAATTCTCCTCTTTTCAGTAAGAGGTTTAGTTTCTCCAGAGAACAAATCTCGTGTCTTCTCTTCTGATAGCAAAAGTATAGTTGCCTACCTGGTTGATGTGGGAAGAGTTCTGGAGGTTTATCTGTTTTCTGTATAGTCAATCTGTTTTTAGCCCAACTTTTAGAGGTACCTAATGCCTCAAATTTATAAGCCTTTTTGGGGTTCTGCAATACAAATAAAATGTACTTTTACTAGTTTAAGTTTTGACTTTTCTGGTCTGCTAAATCATTTACCACTTAATTATCTTCCCTCCTTTCTGGTTCTCTTTTTTGGAAAATAAATGTTAAGTGTCAATCTTTTAATATTGATAATAATTGATTAATAATTATTGATAAAAATGAATAATTCTAACATTTTCTTCCTATCCCAATTGTTTTCCCAGTTTCTTGGGGTTTATGCAGCATAATTTGGCAAACATAGTGTTAGCTTACTTCAATGAGAACAGAATACTTTTCCTCTGTTACCTGGAGGCGTCATATACTTACTGCAGGCAAAAGGCCCACAGTTTTTTCAAAGTGTGGTCCACAGAACACTTTCATCAGAATTGTCTGGCTTTTCTGTTAAAGGTTCAGACTCCTAGGCCCTACCACGCCTATTGAGTTAAGAATTCTTGAGTGTGGGCCCTAGTAATCTGAATTTCAACAAATGTCTCCAAATGATTCCCAGCCACTCTAAAGTTTGAGAATTCTTATTCCAGTGTTCTAAAATTTCAAACTTACTAATTGATGGAAATCTTCACAGACTTCCTTTTTGCTTGTTCTCCTGTACTTCTCATATAATTTAAGAGAAAAAAAAACTTGTGAGACAGAATAAAAGAGGTTGGGGGAAATTAGATAACTAGTTGTCAGATTAGAATGAGTGCAGGGAGTTCAGAAATCAGGAAATAGAAAACATCTACAAGCGGGCAGAAAAAGAGTGGTTATGTGTAGCAAGTCTGGCTTAGGAAAAAATACTTCCTTCATATTTATATGTAAACATATTTCATTGTAATTACTTTTTCCTGTTATTACTGAAAAAACATATAAGTATTGCGAGAATTACTGCTATATGAATTTCAAGGTATAAATAAGCAATAGACTTTATTAGATGCCTTTAAGCCAGGAGAAATATGTATTTCTATGATGTATACCATTTATTAATTAAAAAAACATAATAAGCTTAAACAAAAAAGTAAGAAAAATTTCAAGCTTAAGAGGCCCAATTCAATTGAAATAACACAATATAA